CCAATCATACTACAACATCTCCTTATTTTTTTTTACAATAAAGCTATAGTTAGATGCGGTATAGTGATGAATGTGTAAACATGCAGCATGCTTGTAAATAATTGTTAAAATACAGCACAAAAGATGCATAATATATCAAACTCGAGTCAACGCCAGGTCAAAAACTAAAAAAAAAACAAAAAAAAACCGACCAAATGACAAATAGTCTATAAAACCAAACTATAGCATACCAAAATATATAATTTGTAAAGACTTACATGGCAACTAGGCCTATACAGTAGCCCTATGTTCTTATAGATCTCATAACATTACGATTAAAAGTCAGATTATGTGTGTGTAAGTTTATTAGAAAATTCAACGAGTCACGTCCTAATCAGGTAAAATCCAAAATAACAATTTACAAATTCAGATCTACTGCCTGTTGTATATTGCTTACATGATTGTATATTGCCAAACGAATAGATATGTTTGGTACGGAATGGCGGCTTCGAAGTGGAGACAAAAAAAACCAGATAAATGAAAGTGTAGAATTTTGTTGTTGAGAATTTTTTTTTTAAAGAACTAGATTTATATCTCAGAATTTGAATTTAGCATATCGTTTTCTTTAGATAAATTGTTAGCTATTACTGGCTATAATAATTACCCCCTTATAAGTATTCGCAACACATGAAGTTAATGATCAATGAATATGAAAACACTTTATAAAGTATAAATATTGGTAAACGGACAGCAAGTCATAGGACTATTATAGTTAGAATAAATTAGTTTACAATAACTGTTGAAAGGTTAAGAGAGAAAAATCTGGATGAATTTATTTTTATTAGAATGATTTATTTTACAGTAAATGCTTCATATTTTAATCAGTTATTTGTAAAAGAAAGGTGACATGTTTAACACCATGAAGCCAGTAAATTAACAAACTACTATGATGAATTTTTTTCTTTACAATCATTGATCATAATTAATATTTAAGAATAACTTTTGTTTACAAAATTAATTCGTTTTAATAAATAATGGTTCAAGAATAAAACTTTTTGAAAATTAGTCTGTTAGTTTCCAAAGAAAAAAATATCTTAAAAACTGAACTGTGAGTTTTCAATCGTTACGTTTTGTTATACTTTTTTAGTGTTAATCTCAGCAAAGACAAATTTGGTGATAAAAATCGATTTGTTGGCCTTTCGTAAAATTGAAAAAAAAACATACGTCATAATGTTATCTTATAAAAAGGGGGGGGGGGGTGGGGGCGATGGAAGAAATTCAATATTGATCCTTAAAGGGACAAGTGAACGTGGGAGATATTCATTCCCTACTGTAAAATATTAAGTTTTTGGTTGATTAATGTCGGGTGTGTCTGACGTACCGAATAATATATGACATGTACATGTAGGTCTTGTAATTGAGACCGCCCGTGATACGGTCGGAAAATTTCGACTGCCAATGATAAAGGAGGGACAGAAAATTGGCCTAAATCCAGGCTACTTACTGTCAACTCAAAGAGTTGTTACATGGATTCAACGTCCCCATTCGGACGTGGCTGATCACAGCCGAATGGACGTTCCACTATCATTACTGCTAAGGATTTATTGCCGGTCAGAAGAAGACCTGTAACGACGCTATTTCTATAGTTACTCTAGTTCGCTAACGAATTCGCTTCTTGTTCCATTGAATATAAAGGAAAGAGTTATCTAATATATATATATACAAGTCTAAATTGAAAACAACGTTCAAACCTATGATAGCGTTGGATAAAAACCGCATTTTTTATACGTGTGCATGCAAACAAATTTCTTGGTAGAGGGGTCTAAATACAGCACAAACAACATTTTCCAAAAGACCAAAAAAGAGAAAAAGTATATTTTAACAAAACGCATTTGACTAGCAGGTCGAACAACTGATGTTCTTAAACCCTGCTGACTGCCATTGGCGATATATATATATATATTTTTTTTTTTTTTTTTTCTTGAACTACTATAAATAAAGTAGTTCATTTTGAAATGTATTCTTTAGAGGTTAAGAACACGATAAGCTAAAATGGCTGGTACATACATGGCTGCATGGCTAATACCAAAAAGGTATAGCCAATTTCCCGTTTATTTTTTTCGTTATTTGGTTCACATGTTCAAATTTAATAAATTGATGAATTTGATAATTTATTGATATCCTAAATCCTTGTTAATATATTTACTTCGGTAGAAAAGAAAGTTAATCTTCTCATCTGGACTTTAATCTGCATATCTATTATCTATTTTGGGATTGAAAAAAATATCTTTAAAAAATCCGGTTTCGAGCCCATTTCTTCATTTTAATTTGGTTACACGTTCAGCAATAACTGATACAAATACGATATATTACCAATGATAAGGCCATATATTTGAAGCTGTTCAAAATTTTGTAAATTATAGCAGAGACATATAAATAATCTTACTATCTTACTATAAGTTATCTCAGGTTTAAACAAAATGTTACTATGAGTGTTCTAATGAGTTTTGTTTGATAATTTTTTGTTTATTTCAGTTAAAAGTTTGTTTTTTTTACACGAGAAGGTCTTCTAAATAGTTTAAGATGATCCCTTTTTTTTTCAGCATAACAAACGGATACTCTTTAATTTACACTAGGTGGGCTTTTCTCTGTTCCGATGAAGGCAGTGCACGTCTTTCATTTAAAAGATTAAATCGTAGTTTTGCAACAGACGGCGGCACATCGGGCATTGACTTACCATTTTATCATTTGTAACAATTATGATTAACCATATATTTATGAGTTATAACACAATTATTTTTTGTACATATTTATTTAAGATGATCGAGATTTGAGAATGATATGAAAATAATAAAATATATATTACAAAAAAAGTTATCTCAGGTTTAGTTATCTAGTATGAAATATATCCACTGGAAATAAGCCCTTTAAAACACAAATCCCCGTTTACTCATTGCAAAGTTTATTTGCTAGTTTTTTTAATCCTTTTTTTTAATGATTTTATTATATTATCTTTTTTGTGAAAATTTTGAGTGGTTGAACATGAAATGGACACCGATGCTACAAAGAAAATTTGTTTAATGTCATCTGTTGCAATATATACTAAGTATTACACGTAGACAGGATGTTCCCCAGAAAATTAAGGTATTCAAATATAAGTTATACACACCCCAAGGGTACACGCCACTGTCATATGGAAAATTACTGGGTAATCAGCCATGCAACTAATCAGTTGACTGACCATGCCACTACAATTTAAAAAGTTTGTCGTTAGATCAAAATGAAATATTTATTTTAATTTAAAATTGAAGAACTAAAAGGATTTATCATAATTATGAAGGGAAATAATTCAACAAAATCGGATTATTTCCCAAGAGATTATATTTTTTAAAAAAATTTCCGGGGAAAATAGAAAACTGTATATAAAGGGTCCCATTAAGATTTTATAGAAATCCTTGGTCTCATGAAATGGATCTCACACAGACATGCATAATTAAAATTTATACATTTATTGATTCTATGATTTCTTGAGAAATCAGGAGCGAAATATAATAAATATTTAGTTTTGATATTAAATTAAATTTACCTTTCCTCGCTATAATTCATTTGACATAACATTGAGGGATTTAAGAGTTTGTCCGGACAACGTGTTTGTCATTAGTATTTCACATGACTTATTGTTTTCGCGCTTCGCCTTGAAGCTCATTATTCAGACTGTTTCAGACAAGATGATGAAAATAACGTGCAAGGCACTTTTTTTCGATCATCGTAAAGTGCACTCTCCCCCTCTTCAAGAATTGTATATTTATAAATCCTCGTCCTTTTTAAAATTACCACACTCTTTGTGAGTTACTGTTATGCTATTATGCTAACAGTAACCCGGGACTTGATTTACATGTAATATCAGGGGCGATTCCAGCCAGGATAAAGGGGGTCCAAATATATGCAGGGCCGTAACTAGCCTCTTTTAAAAGTGAGGCTAAATATATTGGCCGAGCGAAGCGAGGCGAAATATTTTCGACGAGGGGTCTGGGGGCCGCTCAAGGCCCCCAAATGCTCTGAAAAAATGACGCAAAATGGTGCATTCGGACAGTTTCCCGGACTCTTTTTTACTCTTAAACGCAATTAATTTTCAACTATTTTTTTCGACAATATTCTAGTCTCAAAGCAAAATATATAGATTCATTGTAATTTAAGACTTTTTGGTTTAAGGGACAACATCACAAGACCGATATGTATGATAAAGCAAAAATCGTAATTCTCATAATCATTCATACCCGATCTGTCTGTTCTTGTCTTGTATTGTGTTTAGACTTTGGTGATTTTGTTTTATGACTGAATTTAAATATAGTGACAGTGCAGTATTTAAATTTAAGTACTGCTTTGAAAAGTCAACACTAAAGACCATCATGACCTTGTTTTATGGTATTAATGATTCTTTCATTGTTGAAGTCCCTCCAGCGACCCATCAAGATGAAGAACAGGAATAAAAACCCTGACCATTGATAATTTGTATTTTTTCTATATATTGACTTTGGGTGCGATTAAGTCCCGTGCATGTTTATTCCATATTCCCTTATTTTCTATTAAAGGGTCCGAACACGACTTAATGCAAGTTTAACCCTTCAATGTAAAAGGTCATATGGCAATACATTGTTGTTTTTCTTCAAATGATTTTATACCGGGAGATTAGTGGTCTCACTTTAATTTAACCCATGACAGCTATCTAGTTTTATCTACAAAAAAGAGAGCCAGTTTTGTATTCTTAAATATTAAGTTCAATTCTCCATGAAGAAACGAACAATTTTTCTGTGTTCTGTAGCATCGTATCTTCTTAAAAATATTTTCTCGCACACATTCAACATTGCCAAACCACACAACCGTTCACCCGTCATCCTACGGTAGATCTAATTTCAAATATTCTTACAATTTAATGCAGTTTCTTTAATTAGACAAAAGGTCCTTCAGTATAAGAAAACTCAAGTTAAAAATCAAAATTACTAGACTTACAAATGAAAATCAACACTTAGACTATCATGACTATAGTCATAAAGTAGGACAATAAATGAACAATAGACAAACCTGGGTACAGATAAGACACATAACTACAAACAATAGACCATCAACACTGAAAACTAAAAGTAAATTAGAAACATGGACGACGAAAAATATGAAGTGGCGACAGCATAGAGTGAAGAGAGCTTGCTTCTTGCTAGACACTCGCCGTGAAAACAATTTGATATGATGACAAGCTTTTGTTTCAACTTTTTTTTTTTTTTTTAAATTTCCAACATGAGGCATTTGCCTCATTTGCCTCCATGTAGGTACGGCCCTGATATGTCTCCATTAAATGCATTGATCATTTACAAAAAGGGGAGTCAAAACCCCGGATCCCATCCCCCTTCGATCCGCCACTGATTGTGAATATAAATATAATTGTTACTTAAAAGTCATAGACTAATAGTAGTACTAGCTCCGAGCACCTGTTTTGGGATATATACAGCTAATTAACCGTAAATAACTGCGAGATAATGAATAACAAGTTGATAATTGTCTATTCTCTGCTAATTAATGTACCTGCAATTCACCCTGATTCATTTGTGAGACCACCGACACTAATAATATTACCTCAAAGTTAGAGGTTCTCCGTTACTGGGAACTTCATATCGGATCCGATCAATTTATTGGTTCCATTCCCCCTAGTATTAATGATCCATTTGCAGTGACGATGACAATCAAAGGTATGTATACTCATTACTGTTGATTTTGCATGATAACATACATGTTATGTCAACTCACTTCTCCTTCCTACGGCGTCAGAGAGAGAAAAAAAAGCCTTGCAATGCGTCATAATTATTTGGACTACTTCCATATGACTTTAAAAAAAAAAAACAATAATTTATTTCACTGATTGAGACATTTCAGCATGTAAAATCTTAATTGTTAGTCCAAGTACACAGTTATCATCCATTGATTTTCATTTTTTACAAAAGATTCCCTAGTGTGGACCATGTATTACTTCAAAATTTATTTATTTATATTTTTTATGCATAAAAAGTAAGTACAATGAATTACCGTCAAGTAGGGGGATGAAATTATTTTATTTTAGTTTGAGAATCACTCATACTTCTTGTATGATGTCACCTAGCTTAGCCTACAAATTACCAAAAAGAAACACATTTTTATTTCCTCTAGCTTATGTGTATGCCTTTTCATATACAATGTAAAAATGTGTTACTGCCTATATTGACCTTAAATGTTATTCAGTCTTGCATGGCCTAATGGGACCTTGTTCTACTCATGTGGTATGCTATAAGCAGATAAGTCACTTTCTTTCCTTTTGAAATACAAATAACTTTTTAAATATACATGAAGAATTTTTATATTTTCCTCGTCCCCCTTAATTTGAAATCTCTATTTTCAGACATAGGCTCATATAAATTCGACTTTTGAAGAATTGAAATAAATCTGAGACAGCAAATGAGTATTCAGCTGCTTTACATTAAAATACATCATGTACATACATGTGACATACACAATTATGTATAAATAGTTATAATATATAAAGACATTTAAAAAGCAATTTTTTGCAAATTATGTAGGCCCAAATCTTGATAGTTAAACGTTAAACTTTAAACGGCAAAAAATTAACACCCAAAGTTCAAACATGAGAATGAACTTCTAGTCTTTAATGTATATATGCTATTGCCATGAAACTAGGTAAACTGTCTTATAATTCCCAAATCTTAGTTCATGCCAAGTTTGATTAAAATTAGTATTTCTACTCTATTAGGTCTCTAGTGTGGATAGTGTATAACTTGCAAATTATTTTCATACTCCTTCCAAATTTATTGCTTTAAATATTACGGATGAAATTACATTGGAAAAAAAATGTGGCAATTTTTTTTAGGTTAAGGATGTTCGCTCCTCTTGATTTTGAATTTTTACCTGATATTCGGAATCCTCTGGTTTTATCCATGCAGTGCCATAAAAAAATTTTGGCCGCAAACCCCTACTTTTCTTTTCATATTTTTATTAGGTAGTTTAAAAAGCCATATTTGAAAATCTTATAAAATCCTTGTTATTTTTCCATAGCTTTTGAAAGAAAAAGGTGCCAGTGTTAAGTGTATGAAAAATCTAGAGAGAATCACTTCACGCCAAATTTTTAATGGCTTATATCTTAAAAACAAGCACACAGACCCTTCATTTTTTCTGTTTTTTTAGTTCCTTTATTCATATACTTTCAATTTATAACAGTCTTTTAAAAAGCTTGTTATTTTGAAACAGAGTAGCGAACATCCTTAAGTAGTGATTTGGTATAGTTTGAAAAGGTCAAATATTAGTATGTCTGAAGTTGTCAAACTAAATTATAGACCCTTTAAACATAAAATTGTCCATATTTTGAGTTATTGCTCATAGATTTTTCTATTATGTTAATATGTCCTGTCCCAAAAGTAGTACACTACACTTTAAAAATCTTTTTTGGATAGAGCCAGCGCAATTTTTTAAATTTGCCTTTTTAGCTCATCGTTCCGAAGGAACAGTGAGATTTTGCCATCACTTGGTGTCCGTTGTCGTCTGTCGCTGTCTGTTGTCAACCGTTGGCGTTTGTCGGGTGTAAACTATTTCATACATCTTCTCAATTCCTACCAAACTTAAGCTGAATGATCTTTAGGGTATCTACAATAAAGTTTGAGTTTTGTTTTTTGTTTCATCAAAAAACATGGTTGTCATGGCTAAATAAGAACATAGCGGTAAATGCAGTTTTTGGCTTTTATCTCAAAACCCAAAGCATTTAGAGCAAATCTGACACAGAGTAAATTGTTCATTAGGTGTTCAAAGTTCTATCAGTCCTGAAACTTTCTGATGAATCTAATAACCCATAGTCATGATTGTTGGGTTGCTGTCACTAAATTGGTAATTTCCAGGAAAATTTGCAGATTTTGGTTATTATCTTGAATATTATTTATGATAAAGATAAACTGTAAACAGCAAAAATGTTCAGCAAAGTAAGTCTACAAATAAGTTTTCTATAACCAAAATTGTCAATGGACACCTTAAGGAGTTATTGCACTTTAACGACAATTTTACACAATTTGTTTATCATGTTTTCTAACTTTAAAAAATCTTCTCCTCTGAAACTACTGAACCAATTCCAACCAAACTTAGGCTGAATGATCCTTAGGGTATTTAAAATAAAGCTTGTGTTTTATTTTCTGTTTCATCAATAAACATGGCTGCCATGTCTAAAAATAGAACATAGGGGTAAAATGCAGTTTTTGGCTTATATCTCAAACACTAAAGCATTTAGAGAAAATCTTATGTGAGGTAAAATTGTTCATTATGTCAAGTTCTATCAGCCATTCAATTTTCAGATGAATCTAACAATCCATTGTTGGGTTGCTACCACTAGATTGGTAATTTTTATACGACCGCAAAAAAATTTTGCAGTCAAAATATTGGTATGACGTTGGCATCGTCGTCCTCCAAAGACACATTGGTTTTCGCACTGTAACTTTAGTTTAAGTAAATGGATCTCTATGAAATTTTACCTTAAGGTTCAATACTACAAAAGGAAGGTTGGGATTGATTTTGGGGGTTATGGTACCAACAGTTAAGGAATAAGGGGCCAAAAAGGGGCCAAAAATAAGCAGTTTTGTAACCTCCAGACATAACTTGTGTGTTAGTGTATGGATCTCTCTGACATTGTACCACAAGGTTCCATATCACAAAGGGAATGCTGGGATTTCTTTTGGGGGTAATTCCCTCAAAATTTGAGGAATTAGGGGCCAAAAAAGGGGCAAAAAACAAGCATTTTTCTAGTTTCATGACAATAACTTGTGTGTAAGTGTATGGATCTTTCTGAAATTGTACTACAAGGTTACATATCACAAAGGCAAAACTGGGATTGATTTTGGGGGTAATTGCCCAAAATGTTTAGGAATAAGGGGCCAAAAAGGGGCCAAAAATAAGCTTTTTTCTAGTTTCCAGACAATAACTTGTGTTCAAGTGTATGGATCTCTCTGAAATTGTACTGCAAGGTACCATACCACAAAGGGAAGGCTGGGATTGATTTTGGGGGTAATTGCCTTTAAATTTTAGGAATTGGGGGCGCAAAAAGGGGCAAAAAACAAGCATTTTTCTAGTTTTAGGACAATAACTTTTGTGTAAGTGTATGGATCTTTACGAAATTGTACTACAAGGTTCCATATCACAAAGGGAAAGCTGGGATTGAGTTTGGGGGTAATTGCCCTAAATGTTTAGGAATTTGGGGCCAAAAAACAAGCATTTTTCTAGTTTCCAGACAATAACTTGTGTACAAGTGTATGGATCTCTCTGAAATTGTACTGAAAGGTACCATACCACATAGGGAAGGCTGGGATTGAGTTTGGGGGTGATGAATCATAAGGGGGTTCAGAAAATTTGGGGGGGATTTTTTTTTCCTTTTTTTCCTTTTGTTTTGAAAGGTACCATACCACATAGGGAAGGCTGGGATTGAGTTTGGGGGTGATGAATCATAAGGGGGTTCAGAAAATTTTGGGGGGATTTTTTTTCCTTTTTTTCCTTTTGTTTTCTTTAAAATTTTCCATTTTAAATTGGTTATTTCTGATTTATATATAAAAGCAAATAATAATGATATGGTTTGAATAGGTAAATTAGAAATTTTTAAGTTCTTAGACCACATTCATTTGTGAGCCTCTTGTTTTAATTGCTTCTGTAAGTAATATATTAATTTGAAATTTTGACGACAGACACATACAGATTATACCGTTAACAATATTTCAGAGTTTAATGTTGTCAAGCACACAAATCATAGAAGAATAGTAAATCACATCATTGTTGTCCATTGAAAAATTAGTATGAACACGATGAAAAAGTACGGGAATGTTTGTTTGTTAAACTATTGACCATGGTTATGTCTATGAAACTGTTGACTGGCAAATAGTTTGTGAAATGAAATAGCACAAATATTTCATTCCTTTTTTATATCATGGTATATAGAAAAACACATACTGATGTATAATAATAGTTATAGTCATTAAATTATAGTTTTTACCTTTTTTAAGTTTAGGGCAAGAAATATAGAAGATAAAGAAAAATATAAACAATTACAACTGTACAGTAGAAATGATCAGCAAAACAAGATAAACAGAAGACAACAAGGCCTAAATGGTAAGACCACTTCTATATAATAAAAGTGATTGCCCTTGAATGATGACTATTATTAAAATAAGAAGATGTGGTATGGTAAATGAGTTATCTATCCACCAGAGTTCAATGAAGTGGATGCAAGCAATTAAAGACCAATGACGGCCTTCGATAATGAGAAAACCCATACCTTATAAGTCAGCCAATAAAGACCCCAACATGAAAAAATTAAACAATCCAAATTAGTTCAAAGCCAATAATTAATAAAAAAATCATGTCTGTGAGCACTCCACCTAACCATAATCTAGGACAATGGTTCAAATAGCACAACATATGAACAAACTGTAAAAACTGTTGCAAGTGGCTCAATTCATTATCATTGCAATTAAGGCACTAAAACGACTGATATTAAGTCGTGGACACAAAGCACTGAAATAACAGAACTCATAATCATGATTAGCAAGAATATCAAATTTAAGTTTCTCAAAATGTTCATATTAAACATGATAAAATAAGCTTATTTCATATTGCTGTTTTTTTTCTCAATTTATATTTTGTGTATTTATAGGTGAGACTTCTTGGTTTTCATAATCATCAACAGGTCAATACAGAAGAGGAAACTTAAGGTTAATACTTTTCTACATTGTGTGCTAATTGGATTAATGTGAAATGAAATGTGTGCTTACCTGGAAAAAGAAAATAGGAAATTTCTACAAAATGGTTGTAAACAAAATGGAGTAAAATCATAGATGCACAAGAACACAATTGTGTAATTGCAACAACCTACATATTCACTGAAGGATTATGGAGAAATGTAGAAAAAAATAGTATTTTGTTGTCGAAATAAACACCTGCTTTATCCATTCATGTACATAGCTCTGTCACATCAAATATACAGAGGAAGATGTTTGAAGAACAAATTGCAAAAATGTATTCTCTACCAATTGAAGGAAGATGTCTGGTGGATGGAATTATTTATGCACTGAACTGTTATGTAGGGGATTGAATAATTGTACGCAGCAGCTTAAACAGGAGAAAAGTTAAATTAACATGAAAAGTGGTTATTTTATTTAATCTGCAAATATGAGCACAATATTAATAACATCACAAATAGTATGATATTCATAGCGTTTTGCTTATTATTGTATTGTCTCAAACAGCTAGCCTATTGTTTTTGTATGTCATGTTACTCATCAGTTAACATTTTATTAAAGTTTTAATTATCTTTTGTATCAATTATTCAGTCTCAGGAAAAATTATATTCATACTGGTTTACTGTTATGAAATTTTCATAGAGGAAAATTGAATAACAAAAATTTCCATAGAGGAAATTTGGAGAACAATGTTTTCCTTAGAGGAAATTTGTGGTCTTGAATTTTCCCTCAAGGAAAAGTGTTTGTCAAAAATTTCCTCACAGGAAATTGCTGTTGACAAAATTTCCTCACAGGAAAAAGTATTTCCTCAAAGGAAAATTTGAAGCCGCAAATTTCCTCACAGGAAAAAGTATTTCCTCAGAGGAAAATTTGAAGCCTCAAATTTCCTCAGAGGAAATAGAATTTCCTCAAAGGAAAATTTGAAGCCACAAATTTCCTCACAGGAAATAGAATTTCCTCAAAGGAAATATTAACGCAGCAAATTCCCTAAGGGAAATCTTTTTCCCTTGAGGAAAATACAATTTCCTTTGAGGAAAAATATTTTTCCTTTAGGGAAATTTGATTTCCCTTGAGGAAAACTACTTTTCCTCTGAGGAAATTGTTGAAAAAAGGGGCATAACTTTTTCAACAGTGGTGCTAGAGCCAAAATTTTTTAGGACAAATATCAGGGAACCAATACCTACCAAGTTATCAACTTCATTTTGACTTATCTTCAAAAATTAAGGTGACAACTTTTGCACTCAGCGGAAGTGCAAACTTGTCCCGGAGACTGTTTTATGTCTTTCAAATTGGTTTATTTTTTGTACCGTTGAGTTGCTATCACGCATATATCCCTCATCATCTTTTAAACATGAAACGTATTTTCACGTACAAATTACGAAATATGTTAACATAAACACGTATAGAAAGGACATCTTAAAATTATGTACATTTCAATGAAAATTTAAGCCAAAATAGTCCTATTATCGCAGCTGTATTTTGAACTGCTCAGATGAAAGACCCAAAAAATCGGAATTTATAATGAACAAATACATTCAATGGTTTACTGTGCTGTTAGAATAGATGTTAACAAATAATCGGCTATGTCAAGCTTGTTTCAAACACCGAAATGTTACAAGGTCATACATAATCAGATAACCTAAGCACACTATCCTTATACGAGGGTCTGGATGGGGTTTACAGAATGTATAATGGGCAAAAAGTGCAGAATAAAGGACAAATTAAAAATTCAAATAAATAAAAAATAAAGAAAAATAGGCACAGAAAATAATTGACAATAATGGGATGTTATAAAGAATGGAGAATAATGGGCCAGATATAAAAAAAAATGGTCTAAAATTAAAGAATAAAGAAATCAAGGACCCCATCCAGGTCCTCTAATATGCCCTGGTCAATTATGTTTCATTATCAAAAGTAAAAAGATCTATCTGCCTGTCGTTTTTAATTTATTTCTTAGTAACAAAATAGAGATACTGCGTGAAGTATAATGATTTTAGATGGCTGTGCTCTTCCTGTAAAAGTCCACAGGCCGACAGGTTCTAATTATCGTTCTAAGTGTAGTAAAAGTATACTTGGTTATTTCTGATAAAGAATGGATGTTGTTACTAACGTCAATGAGGTTGATTTCAAAAAGCTATTACAGGAATTTTATTTTTACAAAGATACGGAAATTCGATTACTGTCAAAGAACATACTCATGCAACAGACATATTTGTCACCGTCAAGTACATGTGTATCCATCTTTATATTAACTTGTTTTGAACAGAAATAAATATCTAAATCCAAAATAAATCCATTAACTCTCATTTGAATGTGATCCTTGTATTACAAACGTTAAACCAGTGGATACGATAGACACCCGGTATTCTTTCGATTCTTACGTCATAAGTTAATCGGATTCTTTACAGGGTATATATGTGTTCATAATCCAGTCAGTGTTTATATCCCCTGAGCCTTGAGGCAAATGGGGTATAGAGCACTGACAGGGAATATGGAAATACCATATATCAAGAAATGCTGGCTATTACTAGTGGGAATCAAGATCTTCGTTTTTGTTCGCATGAGATACAGGTTTTGTAAAGGTAACTGACATTGGAAATTAATATAAGATTTTACACACACCGCTGCTAATATTTCAAGGCGTGATATACATACTTATTATTAGCCTTAAATTATTATCCGATGCCTTCTGAATGTTCCCTTCCGTTGTCGTTTCATCAATGCCACCCAACCTAACCAAATTTATATTTTGGTTAATAGATGAAAAATCTTTTCTGGCCGTTACCAACCGAAATCTAACGACTGAAGAAAAAAATGTGAAAATGCATATTGCTTACGGAAACATATATAGTATCAATGAGTACGAATGTAATTACTCCATTTCAAATTGGTCTTGCGTTACATTTGTATCACGAATTTGGCTCAAAACAATTAATTGATACATGACATGAATTGAATGAGGTAAGGCGATACATTACAAGCCTATCAAGTCATGAAATTGATAAGATAAAAAATAAGTTGAGATATCTCCATCAGATATAGATGTTTCGGTAGACGTCAGTCGAAAACTGATAGCAAAACTTTGTAATCCGAAGGGAAAGTCCAAACCTCGCCATAACAGTCAGTATGAACAAGTTCCGTGGTTAAATTGGATACTTGTAAAGATTACAGATTGGTCCGACTTCCCTTTGTGAAGCATCATTTAAATAACACGTCTAAAGGTTTTCTGTCCAAACTAAAGTCTGGATGAATGCGAATATCGCCAAGTCGGTTATTGGGTCGCTTCTACCGTTTTGTTGAACTTGAACCGATCTTGTTTTAAGGTCAAATGTCATCTGACTTTCTTCAAAATTTGGTGTACACATGCATAGGGAAATCAGTGTGCAGTAAGGGTTGTGTGTGTATTGACCACAATTTGTCCTGTACTAAACTTTGTCAATATCAAACATCAGACCTTTGTCCCATCAATTCACACCTGATTGAAATTGATAATGATGTTTGATTATCTAGCCTATTTACGTCTTAAGCATTCTCATAACTTTAAAAAAGTAGTTTTACATTCAGTTATTGTCCATTTTTTTCTGTTATTTATACATTTATGCTTGACACAAAAGCTATTTCCGTTTATTATGATAGGGCGATCCAGGAACATATATCTTGACTACTGTTTCCAGGGCGATCGGTACATTACGAACGTCAAATATTGCCACGATATTAATATATTTAAAAACTTTTGATTATACGAATATATTTTAATGTTACAACAAAAAGTATCACAGAATGCTTTCTTTTGAAATGAAAATGTCAAAAACTTACTTTAATAGTAAGTTGGACTGAAATAAAAAAATAATTAACTGTAACCCCTGCTTTATTGTGACATTAAAGTTTTGTTAATTAACAAGTTGTTTGAAGACTTCATGATTATGTTAATTGTTTATGCAAAGTTCAAGGTTACCCTTCCATTGGAACAAAATGAAGTCATAAATTAACACAATTTCTTAACTTGAAAAACGTCAAATTTAATGTTAAAAATTGAAAATATATAATTGTTGACTTTTGACCCCATTATGCAAAATTATGACCATTTCTCAGGTTTACGGCAACATTAATCTAAAAGTTCACAATTTTCTCTTTATGTGATCATATAAAATTTAGGCGTGAATTCGATGGGTGCATTAAATTATTTTTATGTTTCTTAAAATCGTTGTCATTTAAGGGCAATAACTTCAATAAGGAGTTGACTAACGATATTCCATCTTGTTGACTTATTTGTAAGTCATGTCTTGCTGTTCGTTTTTGCTGTTCAAATTTATCTCCATATGTTATAGTTTTCAAGATAATAGGTAAAAACGCTAACAATTGGTAAAAATCGTCATTTAAAGGCAATAACTTATACAAGAAGTCGTCTCACAGTGTTGATGTAATACTAACAGACAGTAGGTAGATCTCAACATTCTGAACATTTCTGCCATTGTTAGATTTTCTGTATCTATAACGGTTTTCAAGATAATAGACACAACTTGCATTTTACCCAATGTTCTGTTTTAACCATATCGACCAGATTGGTTGGCAGGCGGGGTCATTGAACATTTCTTTTTAAACTTCTACTTCTTTTACTTTGTAGCGACCTTCTTCAACACATTGAAGTTTACATTACTTGTACTACGCATAATTGTTTAGTGTAAAACGTATATACATTAAAATGTAATAGTTTGAGAATTATTACCAAACTTATTTCTAAAATTTTTACATAGTAGACATTTTTATTTTGTTTTTTTATATTAAGATAAAACTATTTACACATGATAAAACTGACTATTGGTGTAAGTTGAGACAATTCTACAGGGTCGCTCATCACAATGCCAACATAAAGGTTGTTCCAGTTTGTTTTAACTAAAAACCCCAATGATGATAGTTGCCAAGTTAGGTTATATTTGGTCCAGTAGTTTCAGGGGAGAATATTTTTGTAAAAGTAAACGGACGACGACGACGGACGCCAAGTGATGAGAATAGGAAGATTATTATTTTAACCTTAAGTAAGACGGTCATGTATATCTCTCGCATGTTGATATAGAAAAGTTAAGCAAAGATAATTTATTATAAATAGTAGTTAAATTGCGCCTATATGCCTATTTTTCTATTGAAAACCAGCCGGTCCGGTCCGTTTATCATATATTGCAGCCTCTTGTTTTTTTTCTTAATATTCAAACGGCACTAAAGACGTAAAATGTAGTTAATGCAGTTGCTCTATTCTTAACTACATGGAGAAAAGTTCGGTAATCTCCCAAAAGCTAAATGGACTTCAGCTTTGCATCATCCATCTTCTTTTTGGGCCATGACCGCGCTGTACATAACTTCTGTCTGACACATCCATTGAATATTACCCTGATCAATTTGAAGTAAACTTTGGAATTGAACAAAACTTGATGGAATTTTAAAATAATGACACATGTAGTTGTGCATTTCTTATTTTCTTTATTGAGGTTTCCCCAAGCTGAATCATGGACTTTTCAATATCTACCACTAGAATAAGTTTGTCTGTGCAAAATCTACCACATTTAACACAGAAACA